AGGGATGTGAGAGGAATCCCTTTTGATTAAATTGTGAGACATGAATTCCAAATCTAGGAACATAGCTCTTAAAAAGAAAATGAAACTATTAAAGTGGCATACCAGTATTAGTGGAAAAAGGAGTTATCTCAATTGGTTTAGTGTTGATGGGTTGGTCTTCTTAGTTTACCCGTACCCTTACTTTTCTATAGTATATCTTGCTTTTGGGGTTTGACAAGATTTAAAAAAATACTTATAGAAATCTAGTTAAGGGTAGTTAAGGGGGGTAGGGGGGTTTGTGAGAGATAATTCTATGGTTATGCGTATGCGTATGCGTATGCGTATGCGTATGCGTATGCGTATGCGTATGCGTATGCGTATGCGTATGCGTATGCGTATGCGTATGCGTATGCGTATGCGTATGCGTATGCGTATGCGTATGCGTATGCGTATGCGTATGCGTATGCGTATGCGTATGCGTATGCGTATGCGTATGCGTATGCGTATGCGTATGCGTATGCGTATGCGTATGCGTATGCGTATGCGTATGCGTATGCGTATGCGTATGCGTATGCGTATGCGTATGCGTATGCGTATGCGTATGCGTATGCGTATGCGTATGCGTATGCGTATGCGTATGCGTATGCGTATGCGTATGCGTATGCGTATGCGTATGCGTATGCGTATGCGTATGCGTATGCGTATGCGTATGCGTATGCGTATGCGTATGCGTATGCGTATGCGTATGCGCGTGCGCAGGGAATTTGGGTTTAAATAAATTTTATGTCCTCGAGCATTGACTGAATAACACCTTATATGAAGGTGGCGCCAGTACTTAATGTTCAATTAGGGTTCAGCTACAAGTTGTTTGACTGTGTTAGGGCCTCAGACGGCCTAGTTGAGTCGGTGCATCCCCAAAATTAAAAGATACCAAATGCATGACACCACAGTTATGTTATGATCATGGGCTGATTAGTCATAAGTCCATCGAGATGTCTTATTTAAGAGGAAAGAGTGGGCGAATTTAGGTGAGATGGCCCTGAAGAAAGAACCAGATGCCAGGTATAGATTCAGTTTAGACACCCCCACAAGTTATGGGCCCGGAGCGAGAAGAGGGACAAAATGAGGGCGGGTTGCTGGTTTCTCGGCGCTTGGTGATCAAGGACTGCCTAATGGAGGTGATAAGCATGTTGACGAGAATGATTTCAAGTGATGTGCTATGGACGATTAAGAGGTGTGATGTGCTATGCAATATCAAGGAGTAAATGGACTGAAGAATATCCATGTGGTTGGGAATTTACAGTGGAAGGTATATATTGTCTGGGAGCATTACTTGTACTGTACCTGCTTATAAGCATGGGGTATATAGTGTAATGTACGATTATACATAGGATGGTGTATGTAAGATTAAACATAGATAGTACTATATGGGGAGGAGCACGTAATGCACGAATTACATAGCCGTACAGGGAGTAGTTTAAGTAGAATTTCAGCTTTGGGTGTTGATGGTGAGGTAGGTAGCCTCTTCCCTGAATGTCCTCGGAAGATGAGTTTTCATTTACGGTTTACAAGACCGTTGTAATATGTTATACTACGAGGACCTTCATTTAAGAAGGTGGTTTTCAATTAGGCCTGCGATAGGTATAAAGATGAGGATGATGGAGAAGTACAGGATTGAGGCTAGTTGGCCGATGACAATGTATGGGTGCTCAACCGGTTGGCCGCCAATTCATGTAAGTGTGATTAGGTCGGTTACTAGGATTCAGAATAGGCATTGGCTTAGGGGCCGGAACAATAGGCTACGTTGTTTGGATGTGTGGAGGAGAGGGAGGAGGGCTAGAATTAGGATAGAGAGGACTAGGGCTAAGACCCCACCTAGTTTGTTGGGGATGGATCGAAGGATGGCGTATGCAAATAGGAAGTACCATTCTGGTTTAATGTGGGGTGGGGTGCTTAGTGGATTTGCGGGTGTGTAGTTGTCTGGGTCTCCTAACATGTCTGGGGAGAATAAGGTCGGTAGGAGTAGGATTAGGATGAGGAGGAATAGGCCTAGGAGGTCTTTGATTGAGTAGTATGGATGAAATGGAATTTTGTCGGAATCGGAGATTAGGCCTGTGGGGTTGTTGGACCCTGTCTCGTGAAGGAATAGGAGATGGACGGTTACTAGGGCGGTTACGACGAAAGGTAGGGTGAAGTGTAACGCGAAAAATCGGGTGAGGGTAGCTTTGTCTACTGAGAATCCACCTCAGACTCATTCTACTAGGTTGGTGCCGATGTAGGGGATGGCTGATAGAAGGTTGGTGATTACAGTTGCCCCTCAGAATGATATCTGTCCTCATGGGAGGACGTATCCTATGAAAGCAGTGGCTATAATTGTGAGTAGTAGGATGATTCCAATGTTTCAGGTTTCTGAATATAAGTAGGAGCCGTAATAGATTCCACGTCCAATGTGGGCGTAGAGACATAGGAAAAATATTGATGCTCCGTTGGCATGGAGGTAGCGAATGATTCAACCATAGTTGACGTCTCGGCAAATGTGGGCTACTGAAGAGAATGCGGTTAGCGTGTCTGATGTGTAGTGTATGGCTAGGAATAATCCTGTGAGAATTTGAATGATTAGGCATGCCCCAAGTAGTGAGCCAAAGTTTCATCATGATGAGATGTTTGTTGGAGTTGGCAAGTCGATGAAGGAGTCATTCAAGATTTTGATTAGTGGGTGTGATTTTCGAATGTTGGTCATTAGGGGTTCTTATAGTTGAAAAACAACGGTGATTTTTCATGTCATTGGTCATGGTTGTAGTCCATGTAAGAATAATGATGTATGTGGTTTTTATGATGAGTGTTCTTTTTGTGGTTGGGTTTATTGGGTTTTCTTCTAAGCCTTCTCCTATTTATGGAGGGTTAGGGTTGATCGTTAGTGGTGGAGTGGGATGTGGTGTTGTTGTGAGTCTTGGCGGGTCTTTCCTGGGGTTAATAGTATTTTTGGTTTACTTAGGAGGAATAATAGTGGTTTTTGGTTACACCACAGCTATGGCTACTGATGAGTACCCAGAGACTTGGGGATCGAATGTTGTGGTCTTGGGAGCGTTAATTACGGGTCTGCTGATGGAGGGGGTCGTTGTGGTATACTTATTCAGTGGGGGTGGATGTGAGTTGGTTGGTCTGGATTTGGGTAGCCTAGAGAATTGGATAGTCTTTGGTGAGGAGGGAGGTGAGTACATTCGTGAGGATTATGTTGGTGGGTCGTCTTTGTATGATCGTGGGTGTTGATTAATGTTAATATCAGGTTGAATGTTGTTTATTAGTGTTTTTGTTGTCATTGAGATTACTCGGGGGCGTTAGATTGTGAGTAGGAGGCCTAAGGTTAGAGAGATGAGGAAGGAAAGGGAGTATAATTTGATTATTCCTTTTTGGTTTGAGATTGAGGTTGAGGCGAATTTTTGTATTGAGGCCAGGCCTTTTGGGATAGCCTTTTCTAGCCAAGCCAGGTCTATGATAGTGGATGCTAAATTTTGACTGGTATTGAGAACGTGGAACGGTGGAGAACGGTGGATAATAGTAGGGTAATAGCCCAGTATGTTTGAGAACTTGTGTGTGTAAAGTGGAAAGTCGAATTTGAGGTGATATGTGAATAGGCTTAATTCTATAGCCAGTGCGAAACCCAGAAGGGTGATTGCTAAAGCCGCAAATTTCAGGTGGTGTGGTATGGTCATGTGGGGTACCGTGGTTGGGGTTAGGTTGGATGAGATTATGAATCCGGCAAAGATGCTGCCTAGAATGAGGCGTTTGATGGCGTTGATGAGGAAGGGGTTATTTTCATTGATTTGGATAAGTATAGGGTATCGTGGTTGTCCCAGTAGGACAAAGAAGACAATTCGGGTACTGTAAACCGCTGTTATGGATGTGGCAGCGAGAGTAATTAGTAGGGCTCAGGCGTTGGTGTAGGATGTGCTTATGGCCTCAATAATTAGGTCTTTTGAGTAAAAGCCTGTTAGGAATGGTATACCAGTTAGCGCTAGGCTGCCAATAATAAGGGCAGTGGTGGTGAATGGGAGGGTTTTGTAGAGTCCTCCTATCTTGCGGATATCTTGTTCATCACCTAAGCTGTGGATGATAGACCCTGAGCACATAAATAGTATGGCTTTAAAGAAGGCGTGGGTACAGATGTGCAGGAAAGCTAAGTGGGGCTGGTTGATGCCGATAGTAACTATTATTAGTCCTAGTTGACTGGAGGTCGAGAAGGCGATAATTTTTTTGATGTCGTTTTGCGTTAATGCGCAGATAGCGGTGAATAGTGTTGTGATGGCACCGATACAGAGTGTTAGGGTCAGGGTTAGGGGATTTGTCTCTATAAGTGGATGAAAGCGGATTAGAAGGAACACGCCGGCTACTACTATAGTGCTAGAGTGAAGTAGGGCTGACACTGGTGTCGGCCCTTCCATGGCGGATGGAAGTCATGGGTGGAGACCAAATTGAGCTGATTTGCCTGTAGCGGCAAGTAGAAGGCCTAGGAGGGGTAGGGTATCGTTTTTTGGGCTTGCTAGGAAGATCTGTTGGAGTTCTCAGGAGTTAGAGTGGAGTAGAAATCAGGCTATGGCTGCTACGAATCCTACGTCTCCGATACGGTTGTAGATCATGGCTTGGAGCGCAGCCGTGTTGGCGTCTGCCCGTCCGTATCATCACCCAATAAGTAGAAATGATATTATGCCCACTCCTTCCCAGCCGATGAACAGCTGGAATAGGTTGTTGGCGGTGACCAAAATTATTATGGTGATTAGGAATAGGAGTAGATACTTGAAGAACCGGTTAATGTAGGGGTCTGAGTGCATATATCATAGTGAGAACTCCATGATTGATCATGTAACGAAGAGGGCTACTGGTATGAAGACCAGGGAAAAGTAATCTAATTTAAAGCTGAGTGATAGTTTTAGTGTATGGATTGTTATTCAGTGTCAGTTGGAGATTACAGCCTCGTGGCCTAGGTGCATAAACATTATAGCAGGGACTATACTAGTCATGAAAGCGTAAGAGACAGTTGTTTTTACATAGTGTGGGAAGTTGGTTGAGTTATAAATTTGTGACGGGGTTAGTGTGATGGGGAGGATGAGAATAGTTAGTGTAATTAGGGTAAATGAGGAGAATAAATTAATTACTTTTATTTGGAGTTGCACCAATTTTTTGGTTCCTAAGACCAACGGATAGCTACTATCCTTTAAAAGTTGAAAGAGCCATAGTGTTAAGTATGGAGTGGAGGGTTAGCAATCCTCCTGTGCTCTGTCGGTAAATAAAAAGGCTTAAGCTTTTATTATTAGATTCACAATCTAATGTTTTGGTTAAACTATATTTACAGAATGTGGGGCCTAAGATGAGTTGGGGGTTGATAGACAGGAGTAATAGGGGAATAACGTGTAGGGCTATAAGGGCATTTTCTCGGGTGAATGAAGGTTTAATGATTTTGGCGTGGTGTGAGGCTTTTCCCCGTTGAGTAGTGATAAGTATGTAAAGGGTATATGAGGCTGTTAATAGTATGTTAAGTCCTGTGAATATGATGGTGAAGTTTGATCATGAAAGTGATGTCAAAATAATGAATAGTTCACCGATTAGGTTAATTGAAGGTGGTAGGGCTATATTTGTAAGGCAGGCTAGTAGCCATCATGCTGCTATTAGGGGGAGGAGGGTTTGTAGGCCTCGAGCTAGGATTATGGTTCGGCTGTGGATCCGTTCATAGTTCGAGTTGGCTAGACAGAACAGAAGAGATGAGGTCAGTCCGTGTGCAATTATTAGGGCGGTAGCTCCCATGAAGCTTCATGGGGTTTGAATAAGGATAGCTACAATTACTAATGCTATGTGGCTAACAGATGAATAGGCGATGAGGGATTTCAGGTCGGTTTGTCGTAGACAAATTGAGCTAGTTATGACTATTCCTCATAGGGAGAGCATTAGAAATGGGTAGGCCATAGATTTTGTTAGGGGGTCTAATAGGGTGGTGATACGTATTATGCCGTAACCTCCCAATTTCAGTAGGATGGCGGCTAGAACTATTGAGCCTGCAATGGGAGCTTCAACGTGGGCTTTAGGCAGTCAGAGGTGGATACCATACAGTGGCATTTTAACCATGAAGGCTATTATGCACGCTAGCCATAGAATACTTGTTGATCATGAGTGGGGCAAGTGTTGGATTCAGTAAGAGGTGATTATAAGGTTTAATGTACCTAGGACGTTTTGAATATATACTAGGGTAACTAAGAGTGGAATGGATCCTAACAGTGTATAGAAAAGGAAGTAAAGGCCTGCGTTGAGGCGTTCTGATTGGTTCCCTCATCGGGTAATAATGATTATTGTGGGAATTAGTGTGGCTTCAAATATAATATAAAGTAGAATTAGCTCAGTGGCGGTAAATGTTATAATTAGAAAAAGTTGGAGTAGGATGAGCATGGTAACGTAAGACTTTTTCCGAGTTACTGATTCTTGAGAGAGATGATGCTGGCTGGCCATTAGCATGAGTGGAAAGAGTCAGGTAGTGAGAATTAGTAGTGGGGTTGATAGCTGGTCTGAGAAAAATAGAAGGGAAAAGTTTAGGCCGGTGTCGAGTGGTTGGTTGAGGAGTGGGAGGCTAATTAGACTGATGATAAAGCCATGTATAGTAATGTTGATTCATATGGTGCTGCTATTAGATAATCAGGTGAGTGGGATGAGTATAGCTGTAGGTATAATGATTTTTAGCATTGAAGTAAGTTTAGGTTTTGTACGTGGTCTCGTCCGTATGTATTTGACACTATGACAAGAAGCGCTAGGCCCACGGCAGCTTCACATGCTGCGAAAACTAGCAGAATTATTGGGGCTATTATGGAGAGGGTGGAGTGTATGTTGAGACAGAGTAGGGAACCTAGAATAAACAGTGATAGCATTATTCCCTCAAGGCATAGGAGGGATGATATTAGATGGGAGCGGTATATTAATAGGCCAATGAAGGAGATAGAAAAAGCTAGTAGGAGGTTAATATAGATGAAGGGCATGATTGGTAATTATGATATTGTCATAGTCTAATGAGTCGAAATCACTTGTTTTTCCTAAACTAATTACCATATTCTGCTCATTCTAGGCCTTTTTGGGTTCACTCGTAGGCTAAGCTGAGGGCTAGGAGTGAAATAAGCGTTAGTGCTATGAAGAGTATGAGGTTAAGGTTGGTAGTTTGGATAGCTCATGGTAAAGGTAGTAAGAGAGCAATTTCCAGGTCGAATAGCAGGAATGTGATGGCTACCAGGAAGAATTTTATGGAGAAGGGTAATCGGGCCGACCCTATTGGATCGAAGCCACATTCATATGGGCTCACTTTTTCTGCGTACGTGTATAGTTGGGGTAGTCAAAATGCAATTAGGATTAGCAGTGAGGCTAGGGCGGTGTTAGTGAATATGGTAATTATGAGGTTAATTATTCTTTTTTGGGTGTTGCCAAAACTTACTGATTGGAAGTCAGTTGTACTATTTAATACTAAAAGAATAGGATCCTCATCAGTAAATAGATACATATAGGAACAGTCACACTACATCTACGAAATGTCAATATCAGGCAGCTGCTTCAAATCCGAAATGGTGGTTGGATGTAAAGTGGAATTTAAGTTGACGAAGGAAGCAAACGGCTAGAAAGGTAGAACCAATAATTACGTGGAGGCCATGGAAGCCTGTCGCCACAAAGAAGGTTGAGCCATAAATTCCGTCGGAGATAGAGAACGATGCCTCGTAATACTCGGAGGCTTGAAGCAATGTGAAGTAGGCCCCTAAGGAGATTGTGATGAACAGGGCTTGAAGTATTTGTTTGCGGTTCCCTTCTATTAGGCTGTGGTGAGCTCAAGTGATAGTTACTCCTGAGGCTAGTAGGACTGACGTGTTAAGGAGTGGGACCTCCATGGGGTTAAGGGGGTGAATGCCTGTTGGAGGTCAGCAACCACCTAGTTCGGGCGTTGGAGCGAGGCTGGAGTGGTAAAATGCTCAGAAGAAGCCTGCGAAGAAAAAGATTTCTGAGATGATAAACAGGACCATCCCGTATCGTAGGCCTTTTTGTACAATTGGTGTATGGTGGCCTTGAAAGGTACCTTCTCGAATTACATCTCGTCACCATTGATATATTGTTAGGACGTTAGTTAATAGGCCTAGCGATACGAGGATGGTAGAATGATAGTGGAATCATATTACCAGACCAGAAGTTATGAGGAGGGCTGATAGAGCTCCGGTCAAGGGCCATGGACTTGGGTTTACTATGTGATAGGCATGTGTCTGGTGTGTCATTAGGTGTTGTCATGTAGGTACAGGCTAACTAGCAATGTGAATACATATGCTTGAATTAATGCCACTGCAAATTCTAAGATTGTGAGTAATAGAAGGACGATGAAGGTGATTGAAGCAGTTGCAGGGCTGATAGCCGTCAAGGCCAGGGTGGCTCCCCCGATTAGACGCATAAGTAGGTGGCCAGCTGTGATGTTGGCGGTAAGGCGTACAGCTAGGGCTATTGGCTGAATAAACAGACTGATGGTCTCGATTACCACTAGTATTGGAATCAGCAAAGTGGGTGTGCCCTGCGGGAGGAAGTGGGCCAATGAGGACTTGGTCTTATATCGGAATCCTGTAATTACTGTTCCGGCTCATAGGGGGATAGCCATGCCCAGATTTATGGATAGTTGAGTGGTGGGTGTAAATGAATATGGGATTAGGCCTAAAAGATTGGTTGAGCCAATGAACAGGATTAATGAGATTAGTATAAGAGATCATGTACGGCCTTTAACGTTATGGATTAGTAGTATTTGTTTGAGAATGAGTTGAACCAGTCATTGTTGAATAGAGATTAAGCGATTGTCGACAAGTCGATTTGGGGAAGGGTATAATATTGCTGGGAGTGCAATGATAAGAATAACAATGGGTAGACCCATTATTGTAGGGGTAATGAAAGAGGCAAATAAGTTTTCGTTCATTTTGTTTCTCAAGGGGTTGTGAAGTTAGATGTGCTGGGGGAAATGGGAGTCATATTTAGAGGGTAGGTGAAGTTTGATAGTTTAATTTGGAATAGGATAAATAGAGTAACATATATAGAAACGATAGTGACGAATCATGTGGTCGTATCTAGTTGAGGCATCCATTGAGGAGAGGCATGGCTCTCGGTCTTTAACTTAAAAGGTTAACGCTAGTTTAGCTTCTCAATGTCTTATAATAGAGATGCTGATCAGTCTTCGAAGTATTTGAGCGGAACTAGTTCCAGTACAATTGGCATGAAGCTATGGTTGGATCCACAAATTTCAGAGCATTGACCGTAGAATAGGCCAGGTCGTGATGATATTAAGGTTGCCTGGTTCAGTCGCCCTGGAATAGCATCTGTTTTCAGGCCCATGGATGGAATGGCTCATGAGTGTAGGACGTCTTCTGATGAGATTAATATGCGGATTGGTATTTCTATAGGTAAAACTACTCGGTTATCAACTTCTAGCAGTCGTAATTGTCCGGGTTCAAGGTCATTAGTGGGGATTATATAGGAGTCAAAGGCCAAGTCTTCGTAATCAGTGTATTCATAGCTTCAATATCATTGATGCCCTATAGTTTTTACCGTTAGCAATGGGTCGTTGATCTCATCCATTATATAGAGGATTCGTAAGGATGGGAGGGCAATTAGAATTAGGATTATAGCTGGGAGGATAGTTCAAATTGTTTCTACTTCCTGAGCATCCATAGTACTAGTATGCGTCAGTTTAGTGGTTAGTATGGATGAAATAATGTAAAGAACTAGGGAGCTAATGAGGAAGACAATTATTAGGGTATGGTCATGGAAATGTGTCAATTCTTCTATAATTGGGGATGTGGCATCTTGGAGACCTAGTTGGAGGGGATATGGCATAGAGGTATAAAGGAGTTCAACCTATAAATTAACTTTGACAAAGTTATGTAATTGTTTTACTAACACCTCACTCGTAGGGAAAGTCATAGAGGTTATGGGATTGGCTTGAAACCAATCTTAGGGGGTTCGATTCCTTCCTTTCTCGTTCTAGACCTTGACGTAGGCTGGTTCCTCGAATGTGTGATATGATGGTGGGCAGCCGTTGAGTCATTCAAGGTTAGTTGTTGTTAGCTCAACTGTGGAAACTTCTCGTTTAGAGGCGAACGCTTCTCACACTATGAATACTATTAGGATAACGGCCGTGAGAGAGATAAACGACCCCATAGAGGACACAGTGTTTCACATGGTGTAGGCATCTGGGTAGTCTGAGTATCGACGAGGTATGCCGGATAGACCAAGGAAATGTTGGGGAAAGAATGTTAGGTTAACACCAACAAATATGATTAGGAAGTGGATTTTGGCTCATGTTTGATTAAGTGTGTATCCTGAAAATAGAGGGAATCAGTGCACGAATCCACCCATAATGGCGAATACTGCACCTATAGAGAGGACATAGTGAAAGTGTGCTACGACATAGTAGGTGTCATGGAGGATGACATCTAATGATGAGTTGGCTAGGACAATTCCTGTTAGGCCTCCGACTGTGAACAGGAAGATAAAGCCCAGGGCTCATAGTAGGGCAGGAGATCATTTGATATTGCCACCGTGTAGCGTGGCTAATCAGCTGAATACTTTAACACCTGTGGGGATGGCAATAATTATTGTGGCTGACGTAAAGTAGGCTCGAGTGTCCACATCTATACCTACGGTGAATATATGATGAGCTCATACGATGAAACCGAGAAAGCCGATAGACATTATGGCCCAAACCATACCTATATAACCGAATGGTTCTTTTTTACCTGAATAATAAGTGACGATGTGTGAAATTATACCGAAGCCGGGTAGGATAAGAATGTACACTTCAGGGTGCCCGAAGAATCAGAATAGGTGTTGGTACAGGATTGGGTCTCCCCCTCCAGCCGGGTCAAAGAAGGTAGTGTTTAGGTTGCGGTCCGTCAGGAGTATAGTGATTCCTGCTGCTAGAACTGGGAGGGACAGAAGAAGAAGGACGGCTGTGACTAGAACAGATCAGACAAACAGGGGAGTTTGGTATTGAGATATGGCTGGAGGTTTCATGTTGATAATTGTAGTGATAAAGTTAATAGCCCCTAGAATTGAAGATACTCCAGCCAGATGGAGCGAGAAGATAGTCAGATCTACCGAGGCTCCGGCATGGGCTAGGTTCCCAGCTAGAGGTGGGTAGACTGTTCAGCCTGTTCCAGCCCCAGCTTCAATTATAGATGAGGCTAGAAGGAGTAGAAATGATGGAGGTAGGAGTCAGAAGCTCATATTATTTATTCGGGGGAACGCCATGTCGGGGGCTCCAATTATTAGAGGGACTAGTCAGTTCCCAAATCCTCCGATTATGATGGGCATAACCATGAAGAAAATTATTACGAAGGCATGGGCTGTTACGATGACATTGTAGATTTGATCATCTCCCAGGAGGGTGCCGGGCTGGCCTAATTCGGCCCGAATTAGAATGCTCAGAGCAGTTCCTACCATTCCGGCTCAAGCGCCGAATAGTAAATACAGGGTGCCAATATCTTTGTGATTGGTTGAGAATAATCAACGATTGATGAACATAGGTAAAATGGCTGAGTAAAGCATTAGACTGTAAATCTAAGTACAGGAGTATAGCCTCCTTTTTACCAAGCCCTGAGGTGTGTTACACATTGAATTGCAAATTCGAAGAAGCAGCTTCAACTCTGCCGGGGCTTCTCCCGCCTTTCCTTTTTTTTCAAGGCGGGAGAAGTAGATTGAAGCCAGTTGTTTAGGGTGTTTAGCTGTTAACTAAAGTATCGTGGGGTAGGAGCCCACCAATCTAGGAGGATTTAGCTTAACTAAAGCGTCTGGTTTGCATCCAGTTGATGTAGGGTAGTATCTTGCAGTCCTTAGATCAGGGATTAAGTGTTAATTAACTTGCTTAGGGCTTTGAAGGCTCTTGGTCTCTGCTAACCTAAATCCCTATTCCAGAATGGAGAGGGTTGGGGTGAGTGGAAGAATTAGGGTCGATAGAATGATCAGGGGAGAAAGGAGGGTGAGGTATTTGGGGTTGGTAAATTGTCATTTTATTTTTATGTTGTTTGTTGATGGGAATATAGTGAGTGAGGAGGAGTAGATTAGGCGTATATAGAAGTATAGATTAAGCAAAGCAAATATGGCTATGGATGCAGGTAGGATGATGTTGTCGTTTTTAGTTAGTTCATAGATGATTAGTCATTTGGGCATAAATCCTGATAGTGGTGGGAGGCCACCTAGTGATAGTAGGGTGATCATGAGCATGATCATTATTATTGGGGTGTTATTCCAGAGTAGGGACAGGGTAGATGTGGAGGTAGAGTAATTGTTTATTAGGATCATGAAGATGGAGAGCGTTATTAGGATGTAGATTACAAGGTTCAGGATGGTGAGAGAAGGGTTGTAGGGTATAATGATGAGTATCCAGCCCATGTGAGCGATTGATGAGTAGGCCAAGATTTTACGTAGCTGGGTTTGGTTAAGACCTCCTCAGCCTCCTACTAGGATTGATAGTAATCCTGAGATAATGAGGAGATTGATGTCGATTGAGGGGATGATTTGATAAAGGATGGACAGGGGTGCTAATTTTTGTCAGGTTAGCAGGATTGCTCCTGAGATTAGGCTGGTTCCTTGGGTAACTTCAGGCACTCAGAAGTGGAATGGAGCTAGTCCTAATTTCATTATTAATGCTGCTAGGGCTATGCTTGAGGTTACTACATTGGGCAGTTTAGTGATTGTTCATTGTCCTGATAGTATAAAGTTAATTAAGATAGCCATTATGAGTAGTATGGATGCAGTGGATTGGGCAAGGAAATACTTTGTGGCTGCTTCCGTGGATCGTGGGTTGGAGTTTATGGTTAGAATAGGGATTATGGCTAATATATTTATTTCTAGGCCTATCCAGGCTAGTAGTCAGTTTGAGCTGAGTATAGTGGCTATAGTTCCTAGCATTAGAGTTATTAGGATTATGCTGAAGATTAGGGGATTGATTAGTACGGGAAGGGTATAAACCAACATTTTCGGGGTATGGGCCCGATAGCTTATTTAGCTGACCTTACTAATGTAGAATGTGGTGTAAGTGGTAGCACGGAGATTTTTGAATTCTTAGGTTTAGGTTCGAATCCTATAATTCTAGAAATAAGAGGGCTTAAACCTCTATAGTTTACTCTATCAAAGTAATTCTTTTGTCAGACATATTTCTTTATGTTTGTGGGGGGATGCAGGCTAATATGATAGGGATTGATACGTGTCATATGCATAGGGCCAGTGTTAATGGTAGGAAGTTTTTTCATAGCAAGTGTATGAGTTGGTCATACCGGAATCGTGGGTAGGATGCTCGTACCCAGAGAAAGCAGATGGTGAGTAGGGATGTTTTTAGGGCAAGACTAATTGTATAAGTTTCTGGTAGGAACGGGTTGTGTAGTGCTCCTAGAAATAGAATGGCTGTGAGGGTATTTATTATTATAATGTTGGTGTATTCAGCTATGAAAAATAGGGCGAAAGGCCCAGCGGCGTATTCAACGTTGTAGCCTGATACTAGCTCAGACTCTCCTTCGGTTAGGTCAAATGGGGCTCGATTGGTTTCTGCTAGGGTTGAGACAAACCATATCATAGCTAGTGGTCAGAGGGGAAAGATCAGTCAAAGGTGTTCTTGAGTGGTGGTTAGGGAGAATAGGGTAAATGACCCGTTTATAAGTATCGCTGGAAGTAGAATGATTACTAGTGAAACTTCATAGGAAATAGTTTGGGCGACTGCCCGTAGGGCTCCAATTAGGGCGTACTTAGAATTTGATGCTCAGCCCGATCATAAGATAGAATACACAGCTAGGCTTGATATAGCCAGAATGAATAATATGCTTAGGTTCATGTTGATTAGGGGATATGGGGTTGGTAGCGGAATTCATATAGTTAGGGCGAGGGTTAGGGCTAGGACTGGGGCAATGGTAAATATAAGTTTTGAGGAGGTTGAGGGTCGGATTGGTTCTTTGATGAAAAGTTTGATTGCATCTGCGAAGGGCTGTAGGAGACCATAAGGCCCAACAACATTAGGGCCTTTGCGGAGTTGTATATAGCCTAGGATTTTACGTTCAATTAGGGTTAGGAAGGCTATGGCTACTAGAATTGGAATAATTAGTGAGAACAGGTTAATTATGAACACTGTTAAGAAGAGGAATTGAACCTCTGGCTATAAAGGTTTAAGTCTTACGCAATTACCGGTCTCTGCCATCTTAACAGGCCCTGGTCTTGGGCAGGGTTGGTCAATTTATTTATATTGAGATTAATTCATAGAATTAAGATTAGAGCGCTCCGTATAAGAGTAGGCTCTATTTCTCTTGTCCTTTCGTACTGGGAGAAATGGCATATAGATAGAAACCGACCTGGATTGCTCCGGTCTGAACTCAGATCACGTAGGACTTTAATCGTTGAACAAACGAACCTTTAATAGCTGCTGCACCATTGGGATGTCCTGATCCAACATCGAGGTCGTAAACCCTATTGTCGATATGGACTCTAAAATAGGATTGCGCTGTTATCCCTAGGGTAACTTGTTCCGTTGATCAATAATTGGGTCAATAAGTGATTCGCAGACTTTGACTGGTGAGGTCTGAGTCATAGTATCATTCGGAGGTTTTCTTGTTCTCCGAGGTCACCCCAACCAAAATTGTTAACTCATAAAAATGCTAGGTTAAGCCCGTAGGGTGGATATTTATATTATTAAGTTAGTTAATTTAAGCTCCATAGGGTCTTCTCGTCTTATAGGATTATCCCCGCCTCTTCACGGGGAGGTCAATTTCACTGATTGGAAGAAAGAGACAGTTAGACTCTCGTGTGGCCATTCATACAAGTCCCTAATTAAGGAACAAATGATTATGCTACCTTTGCACGGTCAGAGTACCGCGGCCGTTGAACGTGTGTCACTGGGCAGGCAGTGCCTCCAATACTTAATATGCTAGAGGTGATGTTTTTGGTAAACAGGCGGGGTCTGTGTTTGCCGAGTTCCTTTTACTTCTTTTAATCTTTCCCTTTAAGCATGCCTGTGTTGGGTTAACAATGGGTTTGATAAGGTTCTGGTTAGTGGGTTTAGTTTATCTAGTTGTTAACTATCAGTGGGCATCCGTTCTGATATAAGCTTATGCAGGGAGAAATAATTCTTGTTACTTATATTAACATTATTTCTTCTATTAAAAAATAGAATAGTCCAGTATTAGGTCTAGGAGATGGCTAATTTTAAGGGTATTAACGAGTTTAATAGTGTTGAGCTTTAACGCTTTCTTAATTGGTGGCTGCTTCTAGGCCTACTATGGATTGTGAAATGCTTACTCTCTAGCTAAGGTTGTATCCTGTGTCAAAAGAGCTGTACCTCTTTTGAGTACCTCTAAAGTTTACATAGGGATTAATGTTTCTTTTTAGTAAATTTTAGGTAGAACTAAAATTCTATCCTGGACAACCAGCTATCACCGGGCTCGGTTGGCTTTTCACCCCTACCTTCAAGTCTTCTCACTATTTTGCCACATAGATGAGTAGTCGTCCTTTAGACTGCTTGTAGGTAGCTCGTCCGGTTTCGGGACTTCTGGCTGCAGTTCGCTTCGTCAGATTGTTCTAGTTAATTCATTATGCAAAAGGTATAAGGGTTAATCTTTGCTGTTTTGTACTGTAATTTAATCTTTCATCTTTCCCTTACGGTACTGTCTCTATAGCGCCTGAGTTCAATTTCTATCTCCTATACTTTTAATAGGTGGGTAAATGTTTTAGTTTAGTTGTGTGTGGTAGTTTTGTTTGGGTCGGGTCGGGCTAGGCTTAGTTCAAAGTGGTCAATGAACATGAAATCTTCTGGGTGTAGGCCAGGCGCTTTATGTTAAGCTACACTTTGAGTGATCCAAGCACACTTTCCAGTATGCTTACCTTGTTACGACTTGTCTCCTCTCATACGTTATTAAAATTGTTTGTGGTAAGATAATTATGGGTATTTGAGGAGGGTGACGGGCGGTGTGTGCGTGCTTCATGGCCTAATTCAATTAAGCTCTCTGATCTTAATTTACTACTAAATCCTCCTTTAGTCATTTATTTCATAATAACGTCCGTTAGTTTGATTGTTCTCTGAGAGAAAATGTAGCCCATCTTGGACCACCACATGGGCTACACCTTGACCTAACTTTTTTATGGTTATGATCGAGCTCACTTTTGGACCTTCTAAGGGTTGGCTGAAGATGGCGGTATATAGGCTGAATTAGCTAGTGGTGGTGAGGTTTATCGGGGTTTATCGATTATGGGACAGGCTCCTCTAGGGGGATGTAAAGCACCGCCAAGTCCTTTGAGTTTTAAGCCTTTGCTAGTAGTTCTCTGGCGAATGGCTTTGTTAGCAGCCATTGAGGTTTAGGGCTAGGCATAGTGGGGTATCTAATCCCAGTTTGTGTCCTAGCTATCGTGTATTCAGAGCTGGTAAAGTCACTTTCGTGGGTTATTTTTGTCTAATCCTTAGCTTTTTACGGCTTAGATTTAATTTAACTTTATTTGTGTGTCGACTCCTAAACACGCTCTACGCCGATGCTTATTAATTTGGGTTAATCGTATGGCCGCGGTGGCTGGCACGAAATTTACCAACCCTGTGTTAGCGTAGCTTAGTCAAACTTTCGTTTATGGCTAAATTTTTATCACTGCTGTATCCCGTGGGGGTGTGGCTAAGCAAGGTGTTGTGAGCTACATAGGTGTGTGCTTGATACCCGCTCCTTTATGGTCAGTAATGATTTGAAGGGCATTTTCACTGGCGCGCGGATACTTGCATGTGTAAGCTCACTGAAAACTAATAAGAAGGCCAGGACCAAACCTTTGTGTCTATGGAGTGAGCTCACTCATCTAGGCATTTTCAGTGCCTTGCTTTAAAGGTTTAAGCTACATTAAC